AAAGTGCCAGTGACAGATATCATGCTTATTAGTGCTGTTCAGTTACAACTTTGATATATTCATACTATGACTGTTTGTATTCTATCCTTTATCCTGCAAAACAAAGTCTATCACTCTGATATCACCACTGTGAAATACAGGGGAAGGGATGGTGATAAATAGTATAGATATTGTTACTGTTTTTCTACTGACAGAGCTATGAATCCGTGTCAGAATGGGATAAGATTAACATTGCGGTGTTATCCTATCTGCTTCTTTATGTACACAGATCTAAATAGCGCTCATTAGTTGGTGGTATTCCCATAGTTCAGACGAAATTGAGAGATTTTTTACTTATACTTACAATATATACCGATTATAATGTCATTACGTACAATCAATCGTTTATATTGGAATTTTTAGATTACTGTCTCGTATTAATGTTGTGTGCAGTCTGAATAAACATGCTCTTTCTATAAAATTATATCTTTGACTATTATATATTATACTGTATACCCGCATTGTGGAGACATTATTCGGCTGATTTTTTAGAGGTCAAATCGCAAAGCTATCAGTAATTTATTGCTACTACTTGGAACAAGAAAGCAGATAATTAGTCTCGAACTGTCTGTTAGCATGTTTATTCTTAACTTGAAAGGAAATGTCTTCCCAATGTCTGATAAGAATATTTTAAATGTTTTTTATTGGTTGTCAATGTGTGATATTCACTTGGTATATCTATTTGTATGCGCATAGATGAATGCTTCTATGAGAATTAGAAAGTAATTTAGAGGAAGAATCAATCCCCCTCTAAGGAAAGAAATGGGCGTCTTTCTTGTTCAGATAAGAATATAAGAGACAATCAGTGGGTTGAAAGACTCTTATGGTGTATGTTCGTTTTACTAAAATGGACTCCTCACTATACTGATAGTATATGAATAGGCATAGCCCCATTTTGTATAATTTCTCCAGCACTTGTTAATTATTTTGTTTTTAACCTATTATCCGTAACATTATATGAGGGCAACTGCTGATTATGTATGAAGAATAGTGGCATCCGGCTTAAATGTGATTATTAGAAATTAGGGAAGATAGACTAAGCGTCTATTAATATATTTTATTTGAGCGCGTTAATGTAATTATTAATGGAAGTATGTACATTTATTTATGGACGGTGTTCATGAACCAGTTCCTTCATGCAATGTAGTATTGAAATTTTATTATGCATAAGGACGGTATTCCTTCTTTCCACTAAATATATTCTAGAGAAGTATGAGGCTTCTTATCTAAAGTAACAACTGACAAAGTTAATATGCATACTGTACGGAGCCGCTACTTTTCCTTAATGTGAAAAAGGATTCTTAAATGGGGAGTAAGGCCGTTGGCATAGGTATACAGTAAAGAGCGAAATTCTGGTAGTGACTCAAAGATAGGTTTTACTCTAAGAGGGGGATGATATTAAAGAGGATATTCATAATGTTCTATTATGATACAAGACATAAACACTGTATAGATATACATTTCATTTAGAGAGGGAATACAATAAGTATTAATGGACACCATTATGGACCTTCATATCTGTACTTAGTAATTGTAATATGTAATAATACAATTTTAAGTTGTATGCATCAGTACCACTGTTTCTATAGATCTACTGGAATCTCATTTTATCTTTTGTACTATGCGTATCGCAGCATGAATAACGTTTTGTGGACCTATGTGAGGATTAATGAGGGAATTAGGCATTAAGGAAGACAAGATAAAGAATCTTTACTTTCTAATTTTGAGCGGGATATATGCTCAGATTGGCAAACCATTCGAAAGGATTTGGGAATTTCCCCCTAGCTTACACTATAAGGAGTCTATTCAGATATTTTGTATATTAATTGGACAAGAGGCGAGGACAGAGTACCCTGTGGACCTGTAGCTGCTGTTGCTGAGTCTTGCTATAAAAATGTCCTTTGCAAAATAGATGCAGAGTGATTGCAGAGTGATTGCAAAGGAATAGTAACACATATTTAGTCCAGTTATATGAAGTTATACATTACACTCTGGTTCACCGAATGCATTGTAATTAGAATTGGTTAGAATACAGTGTGGTTTTCTGAAGAGTGCAACACCCGATGTGTGTAATTTGAAAAAGTAAAAAGATGCTCATAAGTGTCCTCAAATGGGGCGTCCTTATCCGTAGTGTTAACTGTGGTTGGACCCGAACTGAGAAAAGTATAGAACAATAGGAAAAATGCGTAAGATGCCAATCACTTCTTAAAGTGATGCTTACATGTAAATTTCGGTAGAAGTTAATGAAATTCATAACGAGCCTTCTAATGGGAAGAGGATATTTATAAGAAGAAATAGTAATTTTCAATTACTTGATAACTATTTACGATAGAAAGACATAAATGAGAAGGGAACTGACTTCATAACTATGTCCCCAATACGTTAGCTGTCTACAGATCATATTTAAGAGCTTGAACGTCATAGCTGATACATATACTTGCGGCATTTATTAAAAACTATTAAGCCTTATGACGCTTTTGTTTCTTTTCTTAAATTATAAGAGGTTGATAGTGTGTACATATGAAGAAAACGTGTAGCACTCTGTATATGCGATAGTGGTCGCGTAAGAAGCCAAATTTTCCTGAGAAAATCGTAACAATAGTATAAATAATGAGAAGCATATGGAACGATGAAAGGAAACAGACGTCTTTTGTATTGTTGCCTTGACCTCTTCTGTGTAATGTATTTACGAATGCTAACATAACCGTATTGTGTGACCAAGGACAAATCATCTAAGCTTTGTTCAAGCAATATAACAATTTCTTTCCAGGCGTACTGCATTGTATATGCAGTAGGATCATCTGTGACTGAAATAACTTTCTGAAGCTTTATTATAATTTCTTATGAATTATTTGAATCCAAATTGTTCATGAATGTTGCCAGTGATTAGGTAACTTTCTCATATATGTATCCCTGAAATTTCTATATTTGCAGTTGCATTTCATTAATGAAATCTGTGGATCATGAAACCATGGTCAAATTTCAGGTATGCGCGTATTTTTTTTAATCACTTTTGTCTGAATCAAGATTTCATTCAAAAGTGTCGTTGTTCTATGAACCATAGAATGGAAAATAAGTACGATGAGTTTGGTTCTGTATGCTAAGAACCTATGTTTTGGAGTATTTTTACGAGAAAATGGAATCCTTCTATTTGGATGTATGTAATTCACGGTAATATTTGAATTAATCTAGGTAGGCATGGGAATGATCATTGGCTAATAAGAGATCCATCAGTGTCCTGAGAAATCTATCAGACGTTTATTCTTTAATTAGTTCTGCAAAGGTCATCTACTATGTGTCGAGGACATTCATTATCTTTCGGTTTAGAATGACATATTTGTATGTACCCTTCTTGGAAAGATTGGGCATCTTGAGTAATGTTCTCATAACTCTAAAGAACATATCATTTATATTGATGTTGCAGTTGCATACATTTGCGGGGATATATGAATATAGTTGGAAAAGCACATTGAACTTAATGGGCTAATATATTTCTCATATGTTTCCATATTACTTGGGTCTTACAATGGAGATACGAGGTATATAGTACAAACAAAAATTTGTTAATAATACTCTTTATGGTTAACTCCGTAGTCTTATTTTCCAATGAACAAAAACTGGATAATTGTGGGATCGACAAGAAATATAAAAGTGCCTTAATCGTTCTGTCCTGCCCGCTTGTGGCGTCCGGTGTTTGAATACTGTTAATGAGATAAGAATTAGGTATACCATATAGAATCCTGTTTGTTGGCTGTATGTAATATGAGCACTGTGTTATTCCTATATTGTGTGAAATACATTCCTTAATGTGTCCTGTCTTGAGAAGAGAACTTCCTTTAGTAATTGTGAAGATTCATGTACAAAGTAGAAATTGATGAAGGGAGTAATGTACAAATCAGACTCCGTTACATTGAGTCATGAATCGCCTGCTTATAGTGGAAAATTCATACATATTTTTGCTAAAGATTTGGCAGAGCAGTATATAAAGATTCGAATGAATCATTTGAAGAATGTGCTCACCGTGGTCCTTTGAAATCGGGCAACTGAAGTATGGAAGAATTACGTATAGATATCTGACTTGTACATTGTTATAGGTGGTTTCCACAAGAACAGCTTCGGAGGATTTATTAGGGTTTTTCTTCTTTTTCTTTTCTTCTTTCCCCTTCCGCTTGAACATGAACAGGTGGAGGTGAACGGAGAAATCCCCATCCAGCATGACACTAAAGGAGGGACTTTTTTTATGGCGAAAAAATAGGCGCGCAAATAAAGATAAGCACATGTCCATTTGCACAGGAGGGGGCAATTATATGGCTAGTCCTCGCGCGCTACAACGCAGCAAAGGCGCCGTTTGAAAGTCATTGTTTTCCAAATAGAACAGAGCTCATTTTGAATCGCTCAGTCTGGTGAGAGAATTGTTCCAATGTTTGTCACCACACTGTATCAACAGTCACGAATGTTTATGCGAAAAGTGGAAGTATTTATATATGCACATTTGAACGGGTTGGCGATGCGAATGACGCGGAATAAGACATGTTTAAATAATCTCGTAGTGGAGGCACATTTTTACCTCCATGACGTAGGGGCGAAAAAAAAGAGGCATGTCACGCCTGTATTATGATCTGATAACATGTTCGGCCACACTTTATTGGCAGTTTTCAATCTTGCTCATTAGATTTTGGCGGGAATATTATCAACCATGGGTTCACTCCCTCATTTTGTTTTATCATTACGTACATTTATTTGCCTCCTCTTTTGTGTCCTTCCATTTTACATATTCCACTTTGCAATCCCTTTATGCTTCATGAAAGTGGATTGCTAGGAAAAATTTTTTTTTTCTCTTAAATTTACCTGACTGGTCAGCTGCTAACATGTTTTTCTAGCTAACCAATTTGTAACTTCTTTTTTTTTTTTTTTTTTCTTTTCACGCATTTTGCCATTTTACCTAAAGGAACAAGGAAAAAATGAACACAACAAATAGGGATTTGAAACAGAAAAATTTATGGGAAGGTGACGATGTGAACTTACACAAAGGCGATACGAGCCGCAATACGTATAGCAGCAATAGTGGCAGTAATGGGAAGAGGACGAAGAATAATGAAAGGTCGAATTCCATGGCCAATGAATGCAAGAACTCCTTCCACGTGGAGGATTTTCCTAGGAGTAACAATAACATGAATATATATTATGGCAATGAGGAAGTCGTCACTGACAACGCCATCAACAACGACGATGACATTTTTGGGAGTGGAGGAAACAATTTCCTCAATAAGAATTTAACAACGGTTAATTTGAGTGACATGAAAAGGGGAGGAGGCCCCCCCCAAGGTATAAGCAATTCAAATGGAATCGCCAATTTTGATGACAATTTCAGCGTAGCGGGATATAACGCATATAGCCAAAACAACCACACGGCTAGTCCCCTTAATTTTTTGACTGTCCAGGGTGTAGCTAATGAAATGATAATCGGCTCGAACGAGAGCGGAGATCGAGGATACCCCAACAACAACAACGACATGTACCATCAGAGACACCTCCTCGAGGAAAAATTCACCGGCGCACAAGTGCACCAAATAAACTTTACCAAAGTCCCGAGCGGAAAAATGAACATAATTAATCTAAGCGACAAAGAAAATGACGACGATTGGGGGCTTGAAACCTCCTCGAGAAGCAGCCTTGAGGGCGGAGGAGACAACTCGTTCCACATGTTCCCGTTTTCTAAAAGTATTAACCGAATCAGAACAAAGCTTTTGTGCTACTACGACGTGGACAGCGACGTGATCATATACAGGTGCATGTGCGCGATGCTGCCTTACCTGAACGTGGACAAGGCGTACGATTCTGTGGACTACTTGGACGACATCGAGAGGAACGCGAGAGAGGGCAGCGCGGGGCGCAGCCACGAGGACAATCACAATGGAAAAAGTAGCGATAAAAATTACGGCATCAATAACGGCAGCAATGATAGCGGCAATAACGGTACCAATAACCGTCTTGCCGGCGCCGACGAAAACGAAGTCGACGACGAGAACGCGAATATAAGAAGAATCAGCAACGTGAATGACGCCTTCGACTACTATGATAACAAGCTGAGCCTAGAAAGGAACCCAGACGTGTATGGATTTGTTTGGGTGAACATGTTCATTTCCTTCATAATTTTTTTTCTTTTTAATTGGAAAAATATCTTTTCCGGTGACTCCTTGGATGTCGATTTCACCTCCCCAGATGGCACCACCTTGAGTAGCGAAGAAATAAACAACCAAGCATACATCACGCAGAACAAATTAAACATTCTCTACACCACGTTAATTTTTTTATATCTTTTCAATACGCTCACTCCTTTATCAATATACATCGCAAATATCATTGTCACGAAAAGGGTGTTTCCCATCAGGTTGTCCTTTCTCATTTCATTAATGAGTTATAACAATATAATCTTATTGCCCCTCATCTTCTTTTACAAATTTACCTTGATAAAGTCGAGTCTTTCATTTATTCTCTTCATTTGCAGTGCCCTTCGCTTTTTTATTTTCGCCTACTATATGATGTCCTCCTTATTTTATATACACAAATACACCATCCGCACTTTTCGCAATAATTTTTCTGATAACGTCATTTATGTGTACTATGGAATTTTTTCCTTTTCCTACCTTTTGTTATACCTTCAGTTGAGGAATCACATATTCAATTATTTGTGACAGGTGTCTTCGACTGGTACACGCTGCACACACGGGAGGCGCATAAGTCTGTGCTTCCGCATACTTGTGATTTTTTGGGGCCTAAATTGCTTGGCGTGTTATTTCGCTTTTTTTTTTCTTTTTTTTTGTCCGATCGTAACAACATAACGTTTCGTGTTTACGTAACATTTTGACAAAATTGTAAATTTCTTTATTTTAAAATATCGAAATTTAATAAAGCGCATTCTTTCCCACACAAATGGGTCATTTTGGAAAAATGGGAAAGGACAAATATGGGGTGTATGACAAACAGGCGGAGCGGCAACGTCGCCACAACCTCGCGCCTACTACACGTGACAGAAAAAATAAGAAAAGAAATAAAAAGAAACAAAAGTAAAAAGGAACAGACATAAAAATAAACAAACATAAAAAGGAACAAGACATAAAAATAAACAAACGTAAAAACGAACAGACATAAAAATAAATAAACATAAAAATAAATAAATGAGGAGCTCCAATCGAGTTAGAACTCAAATTGGGGTGAACTCGCGGCAATGACGAACCGTCCAACAAAGCGGACACGGTCGCGAGTGTGATTCACGCTTGGTGAATTTACAAATGTGTATTCACATGGAGATTAAAAAGGGGAGTGCAACGGAATAAGCCACACTCATGCACGGAGAAAGATGTAGGAAAAGTCAAAGGCGTGGGGATGCCACACTGGTGAGCGGGAAAATGCGTGTTGTTTCTGTTCGTTATGCGCTTCGCTTCTCTATTCTGCTCTGCGACGACCCCGACTTTCTATATGTGATCGTCGTGGAACAGGTTGACCACCTCCTCACTCTCCGTAATGACGTCGTAATTCCTGTAGTACTTCCAGTTCTTGTACAATTTTAAAAGCAGAAATAGGAACGCGAACAGCATAAACCAAACGTACAAAAAAAAAATAAAAATGAGAAAGTAACTTTTCTCGAAGCAGTAAATTTCGATTGTCAGTATGGTCAGCGGAATACACGCACTTGTTTCTCCCTTTGGGGGATAGTTCACAAGGGAGTCCTCTTCGTCTGTTCTTTTCTTTTCATTCAGTCGGAAGTTCTGGATAACACGGTCGATGTCGTACACGCTGCGAGGGGAGGGGTAGCCAAAAATAGGGAAGAAGCACAATGGGTGATGATGCTCTATTAAAAATTGGGGTGCACGGAAGGGGGGGCCTTACTCTTTCATACTTGAAAAAAGCATGGGAACATAGGTCACCACGAAAAAGTACGTCATCCGACGCTTTGACCAAATGGAGTGCACTCCCTCTCGCACTATGCGGTTCAGTTACCTTTCTTTCGGGGAACTTCCTTGCAGATAGCTTGTTCTTTCAGTGTCGTGCGGGACTTCCTTCTGCGCATACTCCAAGAGGAAGGAATTATTTACACTCTCTGGGCGCACCTGGCCATTTCGCTCATTCGGTTCGCTCGTTGTGATTGCTGCACCCTTCCCCCCATAGGGGCCTTCCTCGATGGAAGCACCCTTATCATCAGTCGAGAGGGTAAATCGTAACATTTCTTCCTTTTCCCGATTAACATAGATATTACAATGTGGGGCAAATTTAAAAATAAAATTTTTCTCCACTTTGTTCATTACTTCTGGGGATAAAACAAATTTTTGAACCTCGATGTTCGCGTACTTGATTGATGCTATGCTGGTGGGCTTTATTTGTGTCTTCTGGTCATCCTCCAGGTGTATGTCTTTCGTGTGTACTCTTCCCCAGAAAATGATATCAACCTGAATACGAAAAAAGAAAAGGGGTTGAGGTGTGCACAGGTTAACGTATGTGCACCTGTGGGGGGATGAAGACGGAGTAGTCTTCTGCCTACGAAAAAAGTGCTACCACAAGGGGAGAAAAGAGGATCAATCATATTGGCACGATTCCCCCTCTGCCACGATCATCTCCTCGCGCCTTACGCCAAAAGGGTAGCTCCTGTCGACGGGCACTGAATTGTGCGGAAAAACATCGAGCAGAATTGCGTCCCTGTTCTTGTCGTCGGAAAACTCGAAAATCTCGAGCTCGAAATAGAAGGAGAAGCTGAAGTCCTTATTTATGTTGCTCACATCTGCAGTGATGTCATAGGAACGAATCTCCAGTGTGTAGATTCCCTCTTCCAAGTATAGGCTAATATTTTCAAATGTGTTCAGGGTGTTTTCCTTCAGCCTGACTTCCATCATGCTGCTGCTTGAAATGTTCGCACTGTTTTTCGAGAGCTTCATTTGGAAGTTGACTAGCGAGAAATCGTAGCCCATGTTGGCTTTGAAGTAACTCCCCTGAAAAGAAGAAAAAAAAAAATAAAGGACCACATTGAGAAGATGGACCTAATCGTCATGTCAGTATGACGAACTCAAGTGAGGCGATGCTGTGCTCCAAAACACGTAGTACCCTTCCTCCACAGCATGTTCTACCTCACCCTCAGCAGCGCACAACATACCTTATGCACAACCACGGGAAAGGAAAAGGACTCCTCCTTGTGAGCACTCCTCAAATTGACAATATCCGTTTCGATCTTCATGTACTGATGGGACGGAATTTTCTTCTGCTCAAATTTTATGTCCTCATACAATTTTGCCTTAGCAGATAGGGTGTCAAAAATATTCTTCATAAATTTCTCCATGGATTCTGCCTCGTCATACGCATAGCTGTGGACAGGCTTGTAAAAGTCAACGGGGTAAAGACTTAGCACTAGCTGGAAATAATTACAAAAATAGCTATTCGTTTTGATTACCAGTTTGAAACTTTTCTCAACTCTGTACAAATTCAACAAGAACTGCTCATCTTCGTTGGAAAACATTGGTGACACAGAAAGGGAGCTATCCTGTGGAGGATCTTTCTTGCCATCTCTACCATGAGTGGCTTCCCCCGAATGGTCCAGAACAACCCTAATATTAAACACATTTCTAACGTTCAAAAAGGAGTTTACAAAGTTCATTTGGGGGTCTGAGAAATTCCCAAGGGGGATGCTCTTCATGTCTACAATTTGATTTTTTTTCCCCTCCTCCGCTGTCACCCCTTCGTCCGTTGACTCATCAATAGAGAAACAAAAAATCTTCAAAACGTAGCAACCATCTGGAATGGTAAAAAAAACTTCTTCCTTGTAGCTTTTGAGGAAGAATTTTCCGAAAAGGTGAAAATATTTATTTTTATATTTTGGGGATATTATATTTCTCCTCACTGATGCGTCATTTTCCGGGATGTTCACGAGATTCACTTTGTTGAGAAGGGGTTTATATGGATACATTCTGCAGACGTCATTTTGGGGGGTTCTTCCAGGAGAGTTACTTACATAGGTTACTTCGTTCCCCTTCTCGATTGTGCTTTCCCCACTTCGAGACGAAACAATAAGTATCACCAAGTCGAATATGATGTCTTTTACTTGTTCCCTCGCCAGGTCGGGAAACGCCAAATGTATTTCGTACTCTCCTTTGTATAGGTCAATCGTAATGAAGGTTTTATGCCCACTTGAAATGTCAAAAAAGGATCGTTTCGAAACGATGTTCAGGTTAAATGGGTAAGCAAAGAAGTGATAGTGGGGTTTTATCTCAACATACACTTGGACACTCTCTTCTATGCTTAGATTAAAAAGTGTGTAATTTTTGTCAATCGTTTCTCTACTCTTCTGCGTATCATTCGAGTTTCTCCCCTCTTGTGGAGGGACTTTTCCCACTTCCTCGGATAAGCATATGTAAAAACGCTTGTAAATGAGGAAATTCCTATGTTCGCCTTTTTTTACTTCCACGCTGGTGGCAGTATCGTAGATAATTTGAAAATTTTCATTTTTTACAATTTCTCGCCAGAAGTAGGTCAAATTGTGGAGCCTGTTACCTGCATGGTAGACTTTTGTTTCCTCGTTACACTTGAGCTCCTTCCCAAAGAGGAAACTTATTTCGTCCCTCAACAGGGAATCGTCCCTGCCGATTGGTGTTATGCCCGTGGGAAGGATCAGTCCAACTTCTTGCTTCGCTACTCCAACCTCCTTCTTCGGCACTCTAACTTCTTGCTTCGGCACACTGACTCCTTCCCCGGGAAGGGAACTCCCACTTGGCATGTGTTCCCTGTATTGCCACACCACAGACAGATTGGCGAAAAAGGGGCCTGACCCATGTTCATACTCAAAAATGTACAGCCCCCTCGTCAGATACATCGATAGGTATATCTGCCTCTTCTTGAAGGAAAAAATTTCTTCTCCTAGGGGGGACCCTTTCTTCATGACCTCATCGTATGTGATTCCTTCCCCAGAGAGTAACTTCTCCGTGTTGGAAAATTTGTACACATTAAGCTTTATGTCTCTGTTTTCCCTGTACATGTACATATCAAAAAAGACGTTATCCCTTGCTAAGAACAGCAGCACATTGTTGTTCAGCAGTTCGAAAGTGTATTGCACGCTCTGGTTCGCGATGGGAAGGTCCGAGTTGCGAAGCGAGATCACCGCGGAGCGATGCCTGGTATGGCTAGTCGCTTCATCAGCTTCGCTGACAGCAACTGCTCCCCGTGCTGCACCGGGAGAACCCTTGAAGAGTAGATTATTCAGTAACAGCGGCAGGTTCACCGTGGCGTAGGAAAGGCCCTGCTCGCCCGATTGCCGAAAAGCCTCCATCTCGCTGGTGTAAATAATGTGTAGATAGGCGTAGGTGCAAAAGTTGTCCCTTAAATTTTCGTTCACTTCTTCGTACAGGTCCACGTACAGCTTGAAGAGCTTCCCCCGCTGTGGGGTGTCACTCGCGGGGTTGTTCCCCACTGGGGGCGGAGTATTCACCACGGGAAGAGTCATCAGGATTTTATTCTTGTATGTGTAACTATCATGGTACTGTTGTTTGCTGCTTGAAGTATCCTGGATGGACAGCTTATAGGGCAAATAATTCTTTGCAAAAATGAGTTCTACCTTCAGGAGGAACGTAACTGAGGGGTCCATGCTCGCCACGTGGGGGAGGCTTAGCTCTTTTACAATCCTTTTGTTCGGATGAAGAAGCAGGAAGTCACTCCTGAATAAGTAATACGCGTTTGGGGCCTGAAACCAGAAAGTGTTCTTTTCCTTCACTTGAGTTTGATTAGCATCCGTGGTGAGATCGGGACGGCTGGCATCCACATAGGCGCTCAGATCGTACACGCCTTGTACATTCTGTGTGCCCTTTACGGGGGATGCTTCTGTACTTTGCGATACACTGGGAGTGGCTGCTCCTTCCATTTCTGTGGCTATCGCTGTGCCAGTGCGGATGGATGCACTTGTACCTGTGTCTATGCCGGTACTCGTACCTTTGAGGGAGCCTACCCTTAAGGCTCCTCCCGCCGCTCCCCCCCCAGCGCACCTCTCCAGCAAACTCAAGTGGAACACATAAATCTGGAGGTAGAAAAATGCGTTCTCCTTCTGATCGTTCCGCGCGTTAAACTGCAGCACTATTTCGTACTCCCCCTTTGTGAAGGACTCGATGTAGAGCTGGTTGTACCCATCGTAAAGTTTCTCCCTATTCTGATTGTACAGGTAAATATAGACATAATTAGCGCTAAAGCAATTTATTTTGATAATAGAATCTTCCTTTACGTAGATGATGAGGCTATGTTTTTTATACTTTGGGATGAAGCAGAAGTTGCTAAAGGAGTAGGAATCGTAACCGATGATCAACTCAGGGATATAGTTAATCCTGCTGATCATGTTGTGTGCACTGCTTGTCGGTTCTACATGATCTGATTCTTTCCGTTCGATGGTTAACTTCGCCTTGGTCACCAAGTCAATGTCGACGAAAAAAAAACCGCACAGCTGCTTTCCTGGGTAGTGCATGGTGGAGGCAATTAGATAAATAGTAAAGGGGCGATCCCCATGTTTTATCTTATACTTGGAAACGTTCCTCGAATTTCTATAGAGGTAATAATAAGAGTTCTGCTCCTTCGCTAGCTCTACAATTACAAAGAACAGGTCAACAAATACGGAGTTATTTATCGTCACGAGGAATTCGTCCACCCTCTCTGTGATATGCTTCTCGTACAGAATTACAAAGTCGAAGTCTTGAAATATGGGGTTGTTTAAAATCCACCTGTTTTCGTAAATGTTCTGGTATGTTTTCGCGTCTCCTTCGATGCTGTTTGGCCATTTTACCTGACCTGCTGCCGAGTTAGGCCTCTCCGCAGGGGTGAGACTCTCCCCCTGAGGTGCGCTAATCAGGTTGGAAAACTCCTCCTGGTGCTTCTTACTCCCGGACCTCAAATGGTAGTAAAACAGATCCGTCACAGCATTCATGCTGCTATCACATTTGTGTCTTTCCTCGTACATGCTCAATGGGTGAACAATCAGATTTACTTCATTCGAATCGCAGATCATATTGTACCCATCGACGCTTATCCGTAAGTAATATTCCCCCTTGGGTAGGGTGCAGTTTATGTAGGTCACATTGTGCAGGGAGAACTTCTTCCTCCTCACCTCTTCATCATCCTTATACTCCCCATCAAACGCTCTATTGACATGCGCATGCGGAAAATGATCCATCTGTTTCGACATGTAGTTAAAAATCGTGTAGTGGTTTAGATTATCCAAATAGTACGTATTGCATATCTTCTCCGCATGAGAGGAGTCATTTCTGACCAAACTAATGTTTATGTTGTCTGCCTTTGACGTAACAATCAAATTGAAGAGACTCTCCTCACTAATGGTGAGGCTTACTTTTTTATGTTTCTGAAACAGTTTCATTGGGTCAAAATTGAAAATGAAATTATCATTCAGTTCGATCATCCTTCCGTATATGATGAACTCATCACTTGGGTCGACAGAAGTACAATCCTGCTCGGTATGCTCCGTATCCTTTTTCTGCTCCTGCTGCTGCTCCCTTTTGCACCGTTTAAGGGAATATTCCTGGAAAGGAGTTTCCTCCCCGTGTGTTTTCCCCGTCTGGATGATTGCGCTCGGGAAGAAGGTGTTGTGCATGCACTCCCTGGTGAAATGTTCGCGGATGAAGTCCACCATGGTATACTCCGCTGCATTCCTCACGATGGAAAATTCTAAGCTGAAATGGGCACCGTGAGGGTTCATGCCTAGCCCACTTGCGGAATCCGTTCCCCAAATGTACTTAACCTCAAATTTGTAGACAGAGTTATTCTCCAGCAGGGCGTGCAGTAACAATCCGTTTTTTGTCCGCACACTTTTGACACACCCCTTGGTGAATTCCTTGTCCAGGTGAGCCAACCTCAAAATGTTATCGACTGTCATGTTGTAAAGGTAGCTTTTACCGAAAGGTAACTTCTTCACATTCATGTGGAAATTTTTCTCTTTCGTTATATCTTCCGTTAACTGGGAGTAGAAGCTTATACTGCCGTGTTCGCTGAATTGAGTAAATAAAAGGACCGTGTAAACGATCATTTGTCGCTTCGACAGCAGATCGGCAAAGGGCTCCTCCTGCCGCTCCCCCTCCTTATCTCGTTTGAATCGAACGTAGTAGTCTTCACTCGAAGCGTAGTAGTAGTTGTCCTTCACGATTATGTAATTTTTGTGATGTGCCGGGAGTTTGCTCTTTTTCTCTTCCACCATGGTTCTATCAGCGTGGAGGCTTCCCACCTCATCAGTCCGTCTCATCTCACTCCTGCTTCCACCACCATTCAGATGATTAACCGCAGCTCCATAACTCGGCAGACCCCCTTCGTACTTCCTCACCAGGCCGATATTCAATTCCAGCATTACATTAATACACCCGCTAAAATTGGGGGCAGTCCCCGGGTGAATGACAAAATAAAAGGTTCTCATTTCCCCCGGATGTATACTCCTGTCCTGTTCAACACGAATAAGAAACTTCACTTCATTGTGGGAAGCATCCTTCGCCAGAAGCAAAACGCTCCTGTCTCTGTATTCGTAGAATCGCACATTTTTTACCAACAAACTGTGTAGGTTAAAATTTACAAAAAAGTCCTCGTTGAAGTATTCGAAATAGACGTAGTTGATGTTCCACCTTAGGGAGAAATTATTTGACACGTTGATTTCCCGCAGGGGGTTAAAAAAATTATGGCTATTGAGGTAAAACGGGATGATGTTGCTACATACGTTTGTCCCAATGCCGCTTTGCTCTTCGAGACCCCTTCCTCGGACGCGTCCCTCCTCACAGGGGAACAGGATGTTAAACAGGAGGAACAGCAGGCAGCTGATACGTAACCCCGCCCAGCGGGCAAGGATCCCATTTTTCCTCCGATCCATTTGGGGTAATTCCCCCATAGCTGGGCCAGCTCGATTAGCCACCTGACAAACTATGTCAGCCTCGGCAACTTTGGTACAGCTTCCTAACTGCTCACTTTGGCCTCAGCAGGCCCTTGCGCCATGAGGAAGCCTGGCAGAGAAGCTCTCCTCTTACCCAAACGTGTGCCTCCCCGCGCATGGTTAGCCTCATTATTGTTGATCGTTCTCCGAGGGAGACCTGCTCCCGGGCATTCATTCCTTCGTATCCTCTACAGCCGTGCGGCTTGGGTATAAGCCACTACTGGAAATGGCCCAACTGGAAAATTCGCTACTGGAAAAGCTAGAATTAGCATAGCCACAACTTGGCAAAGTAACAACTTCGCCTGATGGGCTACTCTCAGATTGACCTCCCCCCCCACAAGATAGCGAATTATATTTTTTCCCTTATCGAAGCCGTTCGCCACTAGTGCTCCGGCCCGAGCAATACCAATTTTTACGCGTGCGGTAAGCGGCGCCAAAAGAGATGAGCATTGTGGGAAATAAGGTTTTTTTAGATTCCCCAGGAGACGTCATCTGGAGCGACGAGGGGCTCACACCAGACTGTCCCCAAGTAGGCGAACCCACTCAAGCACTGCCTGCAAATACATACATACTACCTTTCGAAGCGAAACGAAGTGGGTTTTGCGGAATGGCATTCCGCTAAAAAGTTACACACATCCTCTGACCCACCCCACGTAGCATTTTTTTTTTTTTTCCCATCTCGTGCAAACAGTCCAATGTTGCCCCAAGGAAGAAACGAAGCAACGGGTTATTCTTGCTTTCTATAGCACCAACATTTCTTCATCCCACGTGAGAAAAGGAAATGTGGCCGTACGATGTAGGGAAGTATTTCTCTTCCTCGCTTGCACGGAGGTATTCATCGTGGTTCATATAGGGGATGCCATTCCTCACGTGTTTCCCTGCACCTTTTCTTGTGCGCCACAATAATTTTCTGCAAAACGGGGCCATTTGCGTGTGCCTCCACCTGTACGTACGCACGCGCAGCGTGAAGAGACAAACCTTGAGAGTAGCAGCCTTTATGGGATAATTTCTTTTAAAGAAAAAAAGCACAAATATGTATTGCTTCACCGCGCACAAATATCACCCCACCATACATACGGACTACTTCCTCATACGTAAACATCTCACCTCGACATGAACGCCGAACCACGGACCAAACCGAAAGGACTTCCCCTTCCAACAGCACCTTCGCACCTGGCTCAACTTCATATCACCCGCAGGTTAAAATAAGTGTAGGAAAAGTTACTCAAGGGAGCTCCGCTAAGGTGTGCATAGTTGCCTGTGTCAGCCTTTCCCCTGATGGCAGACTCGATGGTACACCCCATGGAAGACCCGATGGGAGAAGCCACCTGCAGATCTGTGGAGCGCATTTTCGACGGTGTCTCGTTTAACGGGAGTGACAGGTAATTCGGAAAGAAAAAGGCGCACACACGAAAGGGGAAGAGAAGTAAAAGGAAAAGAAGTGACATAATTTGAAAGTTCCCCCCTTTGTTGTCGCCGCAAGTCGATCTACAGGTGTCTAGTTACGAGTGCGTAGTTACATCCACCTCGTTTCTTTTGGTGCCACGTTGTGATGATTCCTATTCCGGCACGGCTTAGACGCCTGGATGAGTAGCCGCTTCCCCCCAATAATGTGTAACCGCTTCGCCCCGATTCGTCGCGCACCCCCCGCAGGAAAAAGCTCCAATTCGAGGACAAGAAGCTAAACCGCTTCTTCGAAAATGGGATACTGAATTACAGCCTCGTGGAGGTGGTGGGCGTGTCGGGTAGCGGAAAAACACAGTTCGCCCTAACCCTCTGTGCAGAGCGCCTTTTAAAAATTATTGACGAGAAAAGGCAGACCATAGTTTTTTATGTGTACTTTAATCGAATGTTCCCCATGCGAAGGTTGGAAGAGATAATTAAGAGCAAATTGGATTCGAGGGGGGGACGTGCCCAAGGGGGTGCAGACAATGTTCGTAGTGACAACGGGGCACATGGAAGGGGTGACTCATATGGCTGCTTCCAGAGAGGGAATGAAAAGAGGATGGAGCAGAGGGAGGGATCTGGAGAAGTGGGCAAACATGGCGAGACACATCATGACGAGAGACACCATGGCGATACACATCATGGAGAGGCACCCCATGACGAGGTAGGCCATCCAGACCCGAAGCCCGCGCAAAACTGTCCCGTCCGAAGGGCCCTGCAAAATTTGTACATACAAAAAATAAACGACGAAAAGGACTTCTTCCAGTTAATAAAGAGAGACATACATTACATTTTGAAACATCACCAGATCTCCCTCCTTGTGGTGGATTCACTGAACTCTCTCTTTAATGGAAATGATAACCTAGACTTATACAGGAAGTGCCAGCTTTTTACAGAAGTGTCTCAATCTTTGAAGCAACTGGCATATGAGAATAACTTCTTCTTATTGGTACTTAACAGTTGGCAGCCACGGAGGGACTACATTCATTTTTCCTTCAACATTTTTGATTATGTCATTAACTCTTCCTTTTCCAACACGATTATTATCTTCAAGAAGAGGAAGAGAAAGAATGAAATTGATCGCAGGATGACCATAAAGTGTTCGGAATTTCTGCGCATGTATAAATCGATGCGCTTCGAAATTAACGACTCGGGGTTCAGCGTGTCCTGAACTTCGCCGTGGATGGAAGTGGGGGGAGTATTATGTGTGTGTCATGGGCATCTCCTTCGTCTTGCTCTTTACAGAGTGTGAATTGCATCTTGTAGTGCCCACCTCAGAGAACCGTTTTGTCCAGACACTGCTCATTTTGTCCGTTCACTTCTGGTTCGCTCCTCACCATGTGATTACACATCCATCTTGTTTTTAAAATGGAGGGAAATATTCCTGTGTGTTTTTCAAAGGAGTCGAATGTAGGGGTGTCCAGCTTAAAAAAGGGGCAAAAAAACAACAATGTGAATAGAAACAATGCAGAGCAAAAAGGAAGAAGAGAAAAATGGAGAAAAAAGGAAAACTGCCACAACGGGGAGAGGCAACAACGGAAAGCCTCCACCCTCAATGGACACGCAGATGCATTCGCCGATGCGGTCAAATCGGCAGGCGCTTATTATTCATGATGTAGTCAGCCAGCTGCTTTATTCCCGGAATCTCCAAAAGAAAACTGAGGGGGGAGTATTTCACAAAATTAACAATGTTGGGCAGGAAGGAAAAAAATAACTTGTATATGCCATAGCCTTGAAATAGGAAGCCAATAAATGTCCTACTCAAAATGATAAGGCAGAAGCCAAAGAGGAAGCTTGCAGTTCCTCCAATTTTTTTCCGGTTCATAAAGAAGCGCACGATTTTTGTTGTCCCAACTAGAAAATACAACCCCAGTAAAAAGAAAACATTAGACATACACAAGAAAAATTTATCAAAAAATAAAAACACTCCAATAAACCCTGATGCTATTCCTAAGAAAAAGAGTAGCAATCCTGCCGTTTTGTTTTGATCTAACATCTTTTTTTATATTTATCTGTACATTTGCAGAGCGAAGCGGGGGGGCGGTTGCACTTTTATTTCCTTCCTTGACGTCTGTTTACGGGAAGGCTGGTCTATGGGGAAGTAGCTCCATAGAGAGCCAACCCTATGGTGCGTGTGTCTTCGGTAAAGCTAGCACAAAGTTTCCACACAACCGCTTCTCACCTTCGCTCCAGCTTGATCATGCTCGCGCCGTGCCTGCATTACCGCCCGCGTACAGGGTGTCCCCTCTCCCGTCTGTTATGGCTTCTTCTGCCTTCCTCGTCTTCTTAATTTGGAATCTCCTCTCTCCCTTGCAGTGTGCCCCGGGTCTCCTCGGACGTTTTCCGATTCAAGTGCACCTTTAAAACGAGTTGGCAAATGCTCAAGGGCATTCCCGCGTCAGTCGTTCATCATCGGAACGTACGGAAGGGTCGTAAGCGTCTTCACTCGTTTGATGTTTTTTGACCCGTTTGGCGCGTTTTCACGTGTTGGGTTTTCGGCTGGGAGGATCCTTCCCCTGGGGGGGTATTCTTTTCACGTTTAGTATACAACAGCGCGGTTACCTCGTGGGCGCGGTGCTGGGAAAGTTGTAGAACGGCGGAGTTGTTGCTTGGTAAATGGCGAAGACCCTGGGGCGCCAATTATCGCGCGAATGGAAAAAAATGGTAAATGGAAGTACAAGTACATTTATACATATATGCATATATTTTTTTATTTTAATATTTAGATTTCTTTTCTTTTTAGCGGCGGCACGGACGCTTCAAACGCTCAAATGGGTGTCAACTTCAACTGGCGAATCGCCATGAAGAAATTGATATGCGCCTTTGCGTTCTGTTAGCCTTTTTCCTTCGTTTTTTTTCCTTTTTTTTTCCTTTTTTTTTCCTTTTTTTTTCCTTCTTTTTTGCTTTATTTTTCCTTTTTTTCCCCACCTTTGGGCCAATTCGCGCACTGCGGGTCGGCACCTCCGCGGTGCTGCAAAAGTACGCTTACAAATCGGCAGGCGTACGAATTACATATGCGTTGTAAACACAATTATAAATCTTTGGATGTGAATAAATATGCTTACTAAATGTATGAATGTCATTTGAAAGAAGCGAAACGAAACTTATGTCAAATTTTCATGAGGGCGGGGTGAAGGCGAAAACATCCCCTTGTTTGTAAGTTTAAACCGGCGAAGCGCGACAAAAGCGTCGCCGCTCGCAACACGCGCAAAAAAATGCAGTTGCGTAACGTGCCCCAACGTATGTATATAAAAATGTATACATTCGGTCTATGTTTATGATTTTCATGTACTTTAGCAGCTGCGCACGGCTAATCAATTGTAAGCTACCCCATCCTGCCTCTCCTGAGCGCATGTCAAATTGGAGTTAATCCCCTCCCCCCCGGCGGAGATTTTTTCAGTTCCCAAGGTTCACAGGAAAACTTCCTGTACGTGGTGTGCATCCCTTCTACTTGAGCGATTTTACAATTGGGCCAGAGAAGGCGGCGGAGACAAAAAGGCACAAATGCACGTCGCTCGTTATACGCATGTACAGATTTCCACTTCCACACATTAGGCAATGCAGTGCTCCTCCCCAAACGTCAGAACTGTCTTAACAAAAGGACTTGACCCATTTGTTCGTTCATGTGTGCCTCGGTTTTACATTAGCAAAGGCAAAGCGGCGGTACAACAGGAACACACCTGGGTCAAATTTCCCCACCCCCAGCGTGGCACACAATCAATGCATACTTCCACCATGACAACAGAGTGTCCTCACGTGTTCCCACTCACCTCTCACATATATGATGACCTCTCAGGAGGCACGTCCGAAAAATAACCCTTTAACAACTTCATGGCGCCTCTTCAAAATGTTAAGATGATCAGCATATTCGAAGACGTAAAGGCAAATGTTGTCGACCCCAAACCGTCGGATGTAGCGATATATATCCATCCTGTTACTGACGGTAGAGTTTAAAAAGCAAATCTCGACATGCTTTAAAAACAAATGCTCAGAGAAATTAAACAGAATCCTGTTATGCTGTAGGGTAAATAATGCATACAACACATTTTTGTGGTTGAAAATGTTTTTCACTTTTTGGATCACGTCCTTCTTATCCTTCTCTGATAATTTCTCATTTCGCACTGCTGCTTCATTTAAGCGCACAAGATATTCATTCATATTTTCCAACGGGTTATTTTGCGGCGGTTTATTTTGAGACAGTTTATCTTCCTCATAGTTAAGCAGTTTTTTCTTGTGACTTTTGCTGCTTCGCACATTGAGTACTTTATCCATTAGTAAACTTCTGCCTGCGAAAGGAGGAAGAAGAAGGAGTGTCCAAAAGGAAGTTGCCAATGAGGGACCATTCTAGAGAGATCGATCCACACAAAAGGGGCATATATTATCTGCTAAATCGCATGGGTGGGTGGGGACACAAATGGAATCACTTCTCCCATGTGTGAACAGCATGCTTGTGTGAACTTTAGGAGGGGTCGGTTGAAAAACTCCTGTCTGACTGGCTCAGTAGCAGAGCCAACGTTTATTTGCCCACCACCACAAACGCTTTTAATGGGAGGACAAATTAGGCCATATGAGCCAATTGGGAGGCAGAGTGCCTTTGCAAATGAAGGTTACACCTCCCTTCTGCGAAATCTTTTCTTTAAGTTTGCTACTCTGCGTAGGTTCACTCATATGCTCTTCACGTGGTTTCTTTTCCACGCCTCGCCCATCTTCTGCTCTTTTCCTCCCTATTTTCCCTACCCAAAATGTGCAAATGCTGGACATGCGGAGGATATTTTTCCCAGTTAAAAATGACGTCCACGTAAATCTTGATGAGTCTCTCAAAGAAGTCCGCCTCTTTTCCAGTCTGGATGTTACCCAGTGGTGTGTTTTTACCCCATTGGGGAAGCCTCCTCTGGTCAATTTCATCCCGCGCGTAGCTCATTTGAGTACTCGCTATCTCTGAGCCGCGCATAAAAAACTGGGGCACTTCCCATGTTGACGCATAAAGACGAATACCCTGGGGGGTTCGAAAAATGGCCTGCCTTTTCATTGCGCCGAAGGGAACAAAAAAACTGCTGATAAGAGTAGAGGGCGGGGCCTTCCAGCCGTAACCCCACTTTAAAGCGGCTCATAGATATGGAGATACGTCCACACGAATGGGCACTCCCCACCTCCGGTCTGGTGCAAACTTTCCAATTGGACTTTTTCATTTTAGCCTAATCCATGTTGTTCTCAGTTTATCGTTTTTTTCTTACGTGATGAGAAAAAATGGCATCTACGCTGCAACCACGTGGATGCAACAGAGCCAACACGTTACTACTTCGCGATGCAGAAAACAAAAAAAAGGATCCCACAAAAATGTTAGGAGTCCTCTTGGAATGCCCCCCAAGGCGCAAGAGTATACCCATTCGTACATTTGCAGAACGCACATGGGATTTATTTCACAAGTGGCGTGACATACCCCTCTCACTTTCACAAAAAAAAAAGAAAAGAAAGAAAAACTACAATGCAGACCTTATGAGAAAGTCGCTCTCCTTAAACTTGACCTTCTTGTTTAAGTTTAATTTATTTTCCATATCGTCAATAAGTTTGGTATATTCTTTGTTCTTCTTCCTGAGTGCGTGTAACTCTTTCCTTAAAAGTATTCTGCAGGAGGGAAGTGTTGGGGAGACGTAACCCAAGTCGGTGGTGTGCAGCTGAAGCATTTCGCGTGGAGGAAGCTGAAGGGCAGATTTTGCTTCTCTTATGCTTCATTTTTTCTCTCTCTTTTTTTTTCCCCGTTTTTCATAACGAACATGTCCAAGATGGTTTTATTTTTTCGCCTGAAGAAATTCTCCAGAAGCTTCGCCTGATCTTCGTCTTTCTTTTGTATATCGGTCTGCCCGGGGGTGAAAAAAAAGCAAATGGAGGAAATGAGAGATGGTCGATGGGTGGACCCTTCCCCTAAGGTGTATTCACAGGGATAATTAATATGGTCATCCCATCACAATCGCAAAGGCAATCGCTGACACCAGCGCAACGCCGCGCTGCTGGCGCACTCACTGTTGATTCCTCCCCTCCCGGGTCAACAAGCCTGACTTCTCCTTCCTGACTCGTCACGTCCAAACTGGACGCAATTTTTTCCCGCTCCGTTTCGTATCTCCTTAAGAGGGGGGAAACATTTGAAAAGTGCCTCGCATTAATCTGTGTGTATCATTGAAGGGTGCTTCGCAGAGAAGCCAGCACGTCCAACGTGCCACATATGAGGTTGATCTCCCTTTTGGGAAAAACACTTACCTGCACAAGTTGTTCGTGTTTATCAACTTATTCGCCAGAGAAATGTTTTCTTCCAACACGCTTATGCATTTGCTTGAGCTGACGGTGATGTCGATAAGTCGCTGCTTGTCGTTATGTCTGATTGGTTGTGGGAGAGGGGCAGAGCGGAGTGAAGCAAATTTTTATGTTTAGCTGCGTGGGTGTCCCTACCTATTGACCTCCTCACGTGGGGATCCACTGCTTAATGTTTAAGCAGAAGGAAACAAGACCCCTTTTCATATCATTCCAAGCGTCCTTTTTTTTTTTTTTTTTTTAAACTTCGTGGCTCACTTCAACTTTTGGAGAATCATCTTGATTGCCCTGATGTGGTTGAGCAGTTGGGTCTTCTCATTTCGCAGTCGCTCGATTTGCATTTCGTAAATCTGTGTTGTGGTGGAAGTTTGGACAAATGGGGAAGAGGAAACATTACAGGGGGGGAACATGGCGATGTCTACAATACCCTCGTCGGTTGGAGTTACTGTCACTTGATACTAACATCTCACATTACCCACCTTGATATCATTCTCCAACTTTAATTTCCAGCTATCGATTTTGAGTTCGAGATCGTGCACCTTCGAATAGGGAGGAGGCGGGGGAGAAAAAAAACATAGATGCAGAAACAGACGAAGCACACACTTTGGTGTATGTTCTGACTCTTAAATATGAATGTGCCAATGAGTAATAATGCACCCCCTTCAATTTTTCGCAAGCTGCTCACGGCGTAAACTGCTCATCGGGGAGATTACTCATTTGGAAAACTACTTATCAGGAAGACTGCTTATCGGGAAAACTTCTCATCGAGCGTACTGCTCGGTAGCCCCTCCCGATTCGCTCCCTTTACCTCTCGCTCCTTCGTCGACAGGTTACTCTTGCTCTGCTCATATTTCTCCTTAATAGAGTTGTAACTGATGGTCGCCTCATCCAGCGCCTTCTTATTTTCGCTGATGAGGCTGCTAAACCTGGTTTCATTCTTCTCTTTGAACTTCTCAAATTTGTAGTTGGAGATGTACCTCTCCGCGATGTAATTTTTGTAAATTTCGTCCATCATCTCGAACTCTTCCTTTTGCAGCTCCGTCTTCCTAGTCTTCTGGCTTTGTTCAATCTGCACCAGGGGGGAGAAACCCAGTTATGGGGTCGTTTATCGGAGCGCTTATCTGGTCCTTCATCGGGTTGCTCATCGAGATGACTGCCCAGCTTTCTGACCTGCCACCTGACAAGCCGCTTGAGAAGCTGCGCACCCCACCTGGCTGTAAAACAAATTTATGTTGTGGACGATGCTATTCCGGTTGGCCACCAGAATCTCCCGATCTTCCTCAAAATGGAGAAACAGATTATTTATGTCTTGCTCAAATTGCCTTTGTAAGTTCGTCATGTTTTCTTTGTGAATTTCGACCAGCATGCTGAGGTTTCCATTTTTTAATTCCTCGATTTGGTCGAAAATGGTTTCCTCCTCCAGCTCGTCATTTAGAAAGAGCAGCAACTTGTCATTGATGTTTTTGTTGATCTCGTGGTTGCTAATTTCGTCCTCTATGCTTTTCTTCAGTTGCTTCAGCTGGGGGGGAGGGAAGTGGCGCGCAAAAATTCGTTCGTACTGTGTGGGTTATTGTGGAGTGCCATAACGTATCGTGCGTTAAGGTAGTGTGCATGAGTAGGGCATCGACGAGTATGTCCCCCCCCCTTTTTTTTGAGTCCCCTCGGCCACGCCGCGTCTCCACTTTTTCTCCGACGCACCTTCAAATTTCTCAGCAAATCTATCCACCGCAAGATCGTGGGAGGCTTATCGTTTTTCTTTTCATTTGGCGCGTTTTTCTACCAAAAAAAAAAAAAAATAGGAAAAGGAGGGTAAATACTTATGTGTACACACCGTTTATGTGCCAGGTGCGCACACCACGCATGCTTGTCGCTGTGTTATCCTGTTGTCCGACATACCGAGGGTGGTGTCTTCTTTTTTAGTGGGCCTGGGGGGTTCTTTGACTTGCTCACATCTTTTTTCTTCTTTGCCTTATTTTTTATCATTTTTTATTTTATTTATTTTTTTCTTTTTTGGATTCCTTTTATGAAGCGAAAAACTCGGTAGGAAATTTCCTTTCGTTAGACGGAAAAAGCTTCACTCGAGCTCCGCGTTTGCCGTGCCTAGCGTGGCTACTTCCACCTGGCTGTCCCCATGTGAACGCATAATGTGTAGTCACCCTCACACGACTGTATTTTCACTCACATGCTGGTCTACCCATCTACACATGCGGGACGCTTTGAATTTTCCTTTTTAGCTTCCCTAACAGAAAGTAGTCCACATTTTTGCCTATCGGGGGAGGAACGGCGTAAAAGGGCGAGACCATTTAAAACCTAGGGGAGTGGAAATACTCTCCACATTTTCTCCAAAAAATGCCAAACGATATATGCCGGTCACTCCTTCTGTCTTGTGGATTCCTTCACTGCATGTGCACAAACACTCTGGCGACGACGCAATGCACCTTTTTCTTTATGTCCCGGTGCCTCGCTTTTCAAACGCAGAGAAGCGATCGAGACAGGTTCATCAAAAAAAAATAATTATAAAATCAAGCAAATTTTTTTAAAAGATATAAATTAATGAGCACTTAAGAGCAAATAAACTGAAAGAAAGACATTTAGAGAAAAAAAAAAAAGAAAAAAGTAATCTCACTCAACACTCCCCCCAGGTGCAAAACATGCCCCTGAAGCTTTAAAAGAATTTATCCCTTCGACACGTACATGCGTCTACATATTAAAACAAAAAAAAATTTAAAACATTCACATTTACACGTTCCTGCATTTCTGTGGGAGGGGGGAGTAGCGCCTCTTCGGGCACAGGTATTCCTTCAAAAATGGGTCAGCAACTTTCACCACATGTGCAGGTAGACACATGCGAAAAAATACGCTTATCTTTAAACACATGAACATATGTAGATTTTACCCCTCCCCCTGAGGGGAAGCAATCGAACTGCGCCTGAAGAGATCAGACGGAAAAAAAATACATGTTCAAAAGGTTGAGTCTATGTAAAGTATAATTTTACAAAGAGGCTTTCAGTAGGAACTTAAAAAAAGAAGAAGAAAAAAAGAAAAAAAATGGTGTCCTTCCACATGTGCGTAGGGTACACGCAACGTATGCCACCCCACTGTAACGGCTACTATACTCATGTGGACCCATATACCACAAATAGAAAAATCTGAATTAGAGAAGAATTCAAACACTTCAGTTCGCTCCCACTTCAAACTGGGCAAATTAAATGCTTCAAAATTGTTAATTCGAATTTATTGATCCTAGCTTGGCATGAAAAATGAGGATGAAGGTAATCATCATCAAGTTACCAAAAAAAAAAAAAAAAAAAGAGAGCTGCCAATCTCCCCGTCTATGAGAACCTGTTCAAAAAGAAAAAAAAAAAAATATAAAAAAAGTATAAAAAAAAATAAAATGGAGAATTCTAAAGAGTCGGATTGCCTTAACGGGTGAACCAATTTCGTGGCAACATCACTTCCACCTCCCCCAGCTCTATTCGCGCACTTACATTTTAATTTGAACGGATCCGGACAGAGCCAAATGTTTGTAGGCGTAGGACCCCTTGGCGATTATGGACATAGCCACTTGAATGAGCTTCAGTTGCTGCGAAGGTTCACGGATGGGCACGGACGTGAGCAAAGAAACGGGCACATAACAAGCGCGGAAAAACGCCAACATCCGGTACCGACGTGTGCATACGCTGCCATACTCGTGCGTACACATCGGCTAATTGTGCAAAAGCGTGGCGGTTTTTCCCTTTTCCTCACCCCTGTGAAATCCTCCAGGGATAGGCCGGCCTGCACCTTCACGTTGAAGGCTCTGTTAATTAATCCCGTGTTGGCGAGTTGTAACTCCTGCAAGGGGGTAGCGGTGGGACCATGTGCATACGATTGTGCATGTATTCTCATTGGTATACACATTTGTGCACTCATTTGTTCACTCATTTGTGCTTTCACTTTTGCACCCACTCGCGTAGGCACACTATTATGCACTGGTGAGCAACCCACACCTAAGTGCCAGGCGGACTCTCTCATATTGCCTTCTTACATAAGTCGCTACTTCCTCAAAATCGGTATCGCCGAGGGAAATAAAATCAATTTTGTCCGAGATGTACGGGCGGTAGATGGTGCAGTGCTGCTTAAGAATGTCATCAAACTTTTTTTTCTGCAGTGCGTGGGGGAAGAGGTAGTGCATGAAGCGTGGATGGTAAGCGCATGAAGAGTGGAGGGTAAGCACATGAAGGGTGGAGGGTAAGCACATGAAGGGGGGAGGGTAAGCACATGAAGGGGGGAGGGTAAGCGCATGAAGGGTGGAGGGTAAGCAGATGAAGGGTGGAGGGTAAGCAGATGAAGGGTGGAGGGTAAGTGCTAACGCGGGGAAGGCACAGGATGCGTACGTAGCGCATCTGTACAGCAGTGCGTCGCGCGAAAATGCTCTCCCGGGGACACACCTTGGCGCACATCCAGAAGCGGAAATACTCCTGCACGTAGAGGGGGGACGGCTCCATCTGTTGTTCCGTCCGTATGATTGGAATTTGGCAGTGCAGGAGCAGTTTCGAAAAGCGCGGGAAAAGCCACCTGACTGTCTCGATCCACTTGTCGCTACGCGCATTGGTCACGATGAACACGGTGTGTGACAAGGACATAGCCAAATGAATAACCGAACAAGCAACTGATTCAAAGTTGCACTTTTTATTTAACTGAATTTCCTTCTTCAATTCTTTGATGCCCTGTTTATAGCTAACTGCACACCTTGTCAGTAAAAAGGATCTGATCCAGTTGGTCGGAATGAGCGTATCATCCAAATCAAAAATAATCACTCGTTTGCACTTCTCTAGGTACATTCCACATGTGCTCTTCATATTTCTTTTTAAGAGCTGCAAGGTAAACATACTTTCCGGTATGGCTGGTTGATAGATATATTTTGCCTTTTCCTGTGGATCATTTTTGGCGACCATTTGATAGGTTAAGTTTCTCCTCCCGTTGTCACTACTGCCAATGGTGTTGTTAAAATGTTTCGACTTCTCCCTCAAGTCGGTGATATCAATTGGGATGCCAAACATCTTGTTCTTATACATTTTCAATTTTGTGTCGTTACTTAAAAGGAAGTAGGGGTTATACTGTGGGAATGGAATAATGCTCAAGTGGCTACTGATGTCCATGCTGGAGAACGGTTGTGTCTTGTACCTGTTCTTCGCGTCCACATTTTTGGGGATCAATTTCTCGTTCGCGTTACACGGGATGCTATCGTGGGGTAAATTCATAATTGCTGCGCGATGCTTCTCTGTGTGAGGATCGATGTTGGTGTTGTCTTCTCGGTAGTCAGCCTTCCTCAGGTATATATAAGCGAGTATATATATGTGTATAATTAAATATATATATGTGCGCGTGTCCACCCGCCCAGTTGTGTCCCTGCCTATGTTCACTTGCTCTACAACAACGTGGACGCCCTAAGCAGCTACAGGTTAGCGCCACCGACAAAAGCACTTGTCTTTGACGCGTCTCAAGGGGGTATATCCTCACAGCGTTTTTCAAAAAAAGGAAATGTACGTATTTGAGTATATGTTTGTGCATGTGCTTTTGTGCACATGTTTGTGGATATTTTTGTGCATATGTTTGTGCATAGTTTTGTGTGTGTATTTATCGATGCGCTTAAAATACTTAAAGACCGTCTTTAAAAATGGTCATCTGTTGGAAATGCTTGCGGGTGCTTAAAAGAGGGGGAATGCGGAAACGAAAAGTCTTCCCCACTGTATGCGAATTGGTTAATTAATTGTGCGAATTATTTCCGTCACTAGACGGGAATATGCACATAAAAGTGGACGTCAACATGTACGATATTTCTTTCCATTTCTTTCCTTTTCTTTTTGCTCATTTTTGCTCTTTTTTTCTTTTCGTTTTTTTCGTTTTTTTTCGTTTTTTTTCGTTTTTTTTCGTTTTTTTTCCTTTTCCTTTTTTTTTTTTTTTTTTTACATGGCTTGTTCATACATTTTGCGCTTTTTAAAAAAAAAATATGAACGTTCATAATATCCGTTGCGAAAGTACACGTACATATATACAGCCAAAATGCAACTTCAAGCAAGCTATAACACGTTTGGATCAGCAATACTTTCGCATAAGTAAGAATTTACCTACCTGCGCGCTCACGTCTGGTATGTTGTACTGATAGACATTTCATGTCTTTTGTTGGTTCCACTTTTCGTATGTTGCTTATGCCTTTTGCTGCTTCGCCGTTTTGCCGTTTTGCTGCTTTCCTGTTTTGCCGACTTTATGCGTACAAGTGCACACTCGCCAAATGGGTCCCAGTGGAAGCGCGAAAGAAGTGGCATAAAGGCGGAAAGCGAACGAAGCCAAGTGAAAAAAAATAAAACAAAACAAAACGAGGCATGATAAAATAACGCTAACCCAGTGGGGAGCTATGCTGTTAGTAGCTACACTCGTGTATATACGCGTTTTCTTTTCTTTTTTTTTTTTTGTCTATTCATACATTTTTTCACGTTTTTAAAATGTCTGACGTTAAAACATATGCACACGCGGATGTCATTTTTACGTAAACTTTTGTGTACCCATTTTTGTGCCTATTTTTGCACATTTTTGTGCATGCAAAAATGACAGCTTTGTAGACGCAGGGGGGGAAAAATGTCATAACGAGCACAAATCAGAGATGCCACATTTGAGTGTTGTTTTTCTGCTTTAGCAATCCTCCCTAAGCTACCAAAAGAGGGCAAAGGATGAAAAGTCGAATAGCACGGGGGTGGTGGTAAAAACAAAATTGGCATAAAGGGGGAAAATACGGAGTGAAAGAACAAAGAGAAAAAATGTTAAGGCGAAAAAATGCTGACGCACGAAATGAACTAAGCGAACCTGTATCACATCAACTTTACCATTAGCCGTCCAACAAAATTATTCACCCCAATGCGAAATCAGCCTGTTTTCTTTTTGTCTTTTCCGCCCTCGAGAAAATGTTCAATTATGTAAAAGAGTTAAACAAAAAAAAAAAAAAACAATTAAAACGGCAAAAAGACAGAATGGTTACGATAAATAGGACATACAAGTGGTACGCACAACACAGAACAAGAAAGCCCCGTGTGTTTGGGGAGAATAAAGATGGCTCCTCATTTTTTTTTTTTTTCCCTCTCTTTTAATCTTCCAAAAAAAAGAAGAAAAAATAAACCAGAAGGCAAAATTTACAATTGGAGCCACGTAGGTGTATGTGCACACACCGTTTACAAAAAGAAGGTGCACTTTAGTCCTTCTAAAGGTAAAGAGTCCCCTTCATATTATCTGTTCCCCTTTTGCGCATCGGAGAAAACTGAAAATAAAGGGGGTAAATGCCGACGTGATATAGAGGGCGCTAAAATTGTAGCGCCGAAAGAATGCTTCCCACCGAATGGACGTTGGAGGGTTTCCACACAAGCATACGTTCGTGTTCACCGCCGCTTCCCCTCGTCTGCATATGTTGGTGAGTACCTATTAGGATGCACGCCAGGTAGCCCAAACCCACTACTACGCCAATGGTAAGAGCTACGACCCTGTAAAGGCAAAACACAGAAGGGGATATCGCTTGTTAGATCCATTTTCCCATTTAATGCAACCTTCCAATTTTTTAAGCTTTCCATTTGGGCCTCTCATTCGGATTACATTTGAGCCGTTTGAGTCGGCGAAATTATTTCCTCCGTCAGGTACTTCATGAAGTGGAAGGAGCAAAAAAAAAAAAAAAAAAAAAAAAAAGGCATGAATGCATAACTAGGTAATGCATCTTTCTTGGCGCACTTCATTGCGTGCTTAAGACGTTCCTACCTGTGAGGTTAGTGTCACCGCTGTGGGGGGAAGAATAAAAAAAAAAAGTAGAAATCAACGGATAAAGAAGCAAATCAGGGCCTGCCACACAACGGGTACCCCGCCTTAGCGGGCACACATCAACAGAGTACAAATTGGACGTAGTCCCCATTTTTGCAGATTCGTAGAATAGTATATCTTCTGGCACATTCTTTCGAGGGGAAAGGGACTCCCCACGTTTTACCTCTCAAAATGGAATACTCCAAGGAGTACCTTCGTATGTACATGTTGAAGGACTTGTTCATGGCGGTGGCAGTTCTGAAGTTGATGATCGACTGGGCGCCTAATTATGTCGCGTCAGAAGTGGAGAGAGCGTGCATGCATAGATGTGTATATGAGCATCTGTTTGTGCATTGGCATGACTATTGCGATTGTGTATGCACCGTGCACTTTCTCTAAAGGGGTGGGGTAGGGGTTCGCTTATTTCCGGTGAATAATCACCTTTTCTCCACTTCAACACAAAAGTCGCGTCTTCCTTCACAAAGAGGAGCAAAATTCCATCGTTGCAATTTCGGTTTCCCAATTTCCAATGTTCCAGTATTTGGGAAGAGAATGTCTCAGCGCTGACTCCATAAGGCAGGCGCTCAATCAGCGCTACGGCTAATCTGTTGTGTAGAAGAACGGGAAGTATAGAAGGAGCGCTGGTTAATCATCTGACGTAGCCATCGAATTTTTCGCATTATTCTGACTTTTCTCTCTTTTCACATTTTAACATGTTTGTATGTTGCGAATTTCTCTGCTGGGTTTGTCTAGAAATGGGGGAAAATAAAATTCAGAGCACGCGCGCGGACACAACTGGGGGCGCAACGAATGGAGTGCGCTGAATTTACACGTAAGGGACTTCTCCTTTCTCTGCACAGTAATGGCTGGAATTGCGTCTTTGGTAGCTCAAAATTTCTGCGGTCGCGGGAGGGAGAGGTGCGGAATGGTTTGAAAAGGAATTGCACCGGTGCCAGTAGTAGAGGCAGCCACGGTAGCGTAAAAACGGGGGAAGGGCTCGACAAAGAAGTGATGAAATATATGACCGCACCGCTTTCCTTCTTAGCACACCTTCCAGCTTGTCCCCCGTGCTCCGAGACAGGATTTTGTTCGGGTCGCACAGGTAGGAATAGTTCAACCCATTTCGATTACACAGGGAGGGGTGGATAAAGGGGTTCGGGAAATTTTCCAGAGTTACATAAAGTGAGTATGGCGGTTTGGATAGCACATCATCGTTTTCCCATGGGGTATCGATGTTAAGAAAGGTTTTTTTCAGCTTCCCTAAAAAAAAAGAGAAAGAAAAAAAAAATGTATCGATAGGGCAAGAAATGGCAACCCTATGTGATGTTCTTTTTTCTACAGGCCATGCTGGACATACGACGTAGTGAAATGTTGAAGCAGGCCCGTTGCTTCATTAATGCGGCGCTTGGCCCTTTCCGTGTGTATTTGTTTCCCTCCCCTCACCTTCCTTCGTGTTGCTAAACACAAAGGGGGGATTTTCTATAGCAATTTTGGCAAGGGCTCCTAATCCGTACAGCAAGAAACAGAGGAGGGGAAGGGCAAAGAAGTTAACTCGACTCATTTTTGTGCATGCAAAAGTGTACGATATTTTTTAAAAAACAAATGGTAAAATGAAGTTGTGTGTCTTTTTTTTTGTCTTTGTTTTTTTTTTTTGTTTTTTTTTTCTCTTTGAGATAGTGCGTGTGAAGTATTCCCCTTTTTTCCGTTATTTTGTCAGATTTGTTCTTTCCTTTCACTTCCTCTTAGGTTACCGGTCGGTGGAATCGCAGAACATTTTTGCGAGTTGATGGAAGCTTACGGGGTGCGGCTCACTCGGGGAAGATTATGCGCACACAGGTATGAATGTGTATGTCTATGCGTCTGTCCCATCTGTAGGGGAGTACACTGCTGGAATTTTATCTTGTGTTAATTTGCTTTTTTCTTATTCTATTTTATCTTATTTATATATTTTTTTCTTTCCCTGATGTGTATCTACACAACTCGGCGAAGGTTTCTCTTTGTGCAAAATCATTTGGCCATTTTGTAACTGTTTAAAGTTTTTTAAAAAGGGTAAGAAAAAAAAACACACCAAAAATGCGCATCAAAAAAAAAAAAGTAACAAATTGTGTCCATATGAGTGCGAACAAGTGGAAGGCACTTTAAAGCGAGATGAGGACAGGTTAAAGGTTCACCCGAAGATGGGCGCACATAAAGGTGACCCTTCTCCCGTCGTTTCGTAAATTCAAATTGAGGGAAGAGACCAACCAGGGGTATAAAACACATTGTGATGATAAATCCTACGTGGAAGAGGCACTTCAGATGGTTTAACCCCCAATGGGGGAGTTGGCACTCACGAGAATCATATCCGTATTGTATATGATAGCTCACTTGGGCCCAGTTGTTTTCTTTTTTTTTTTTTTTTTTTCTTTGAGATGGGGTCTCACTCTTTTGCCCAGGCTGGAGTACAGTACCCACGACAATTTTCGGGTTGGCCAAAATGGCAACCTTCCCATTTTTCAAAGTCGTCCTGTAGGTCCAGTCATTCGCATAGCCATCATGCAGGTTGTCTCCACTGAAGGGGTCCTTTTTACTCTTCTGAGATTCGTAAAGCTTTTTCTGATGTGTTAGGAATTGTTTTCTCCCCCCGATGAGCAATTCATCTTCCCTAAATATTTGTAACTTATCTTGAAATTTGTTCTTGGAGGAATTTTTCTTTTTCGGAATACTATAAATGGTGTTTTTTATATTAACCCTGAATTGGGGGATTTTCACGACTAGCTTTTTTAGATTATTATCTACCACGACATTTACTTTTCTCAAGTTATTATTTCCACACTTGGAGCAGAAGAGAAGAGAAGTTTTTTTTATAAATGTGTAGCATGAGGTGCATATATGTCCCCACAATTTTATTGAATTTATTTGGAATCCATCCATTGTGATTACATTTAATCCCATCTGATACATAACATTTTGCATGGCATAATCTGTCGTTACGCATGCTACTTTTGCGGTGAATGTTTCCTCCTTGTTTACGTCCACATTTTGTGTGTGGTAATTGTTTATGTTTATCCATTGACCGCCCTCTTCTTCGTCCTCCCCCACTTGTACGACTTCCTCTCTTATCACTTCGCACCCGCGTATTCGTCTCCGCGCTTGGGATGAGCCATCTCCATGAAGGGTTCCATCCGAGTCGGCATCGGAGTCGGAGTTACTTTGGTGTATACTTCCACCCGCGTCTTCGTCACTTTGGTGTATGCTTCCACTCGCTTCTGCATCACTTTCGTGTATACTTCCATCCGCGTCTTCGTCACTTTGATGTATGCTTCCACCCGCTTCTGCATCACTTTCGTGTATACTTCCACCCGCTTCTGCATCACTTTCATGTATACTTCTAACCGCATCCGCGTCACTCCCGTCTAGCATGTCGTACCCCCCCGCGCCGCCATCTTCCCGCTTCAAATCGTCCACACGTCGGTTCGTCTCTTCCGGCTGCGCGCTACTCGCAGTGGTTTCATCGCCCTCCCCCGTGGCTACTTCCCCTTCCCCAGCTGGTACTTCCCACTCTTTCCGTCCGCGCCTCCTCTTCCCCAAATAATCAAACTCAACTTCGTTGTACTTATAAATAGTCTCCATGGGGGCGGCATTCAGCTTGGACACATCTCCATGCAAACGGTGCAGCATATAAGTCAGCGCAATGACGTCGATGTCTACCTCACTCAGTGAGTCGTAATCCCCAGTCAATTTGGAAAAATATTTTACAAAATTCACATCCCTCTCTTCCGCCTGCGCAACGGTTAGCAGCGGCATGATGTTGTTGAGTCTCCTCCTCGAGTGCTCATCTTTGATTTCTTTTATAACTCCTTCTGTAACGTAGCAGTCGTAGCTTGTGAACAGTAGATCTTTACACTTGATGACGCTGTTGGCGTCCAAAACATATTTGTGCCTGCTCATCGTTCGTCCCGCTGCGTTGTGGGTAGCATCTACCCCGTTATACCAATGGAAGGAAGCGTTGAGGCCACTTCTCTTGTTCTTCTTCTTCTTTTTTTTCCCTTCCCGCGATGTAAGGGGCTAACTGTACCCCTTGTTACTTATTTTGCGGGGCATACCCACGTGGCTCCTTCGCTATCTTTATTATTTTCTTTTCGGTTCACTTTCTACCCGGTTAGTATGCTTACTATGTACGGAGGCATTTACATACATACGTAAGTCCGTGTCATGTGTTCCCTGATTAGGTGTTGTTTTTTTTTTTCTCCTTTTTTTCCTCAACAGTGCTGCCCGTTTGACTGTTCTGATGCGTTAATTTGGAAAGAAGTCAACTTGGGGGTTACAAACAGGGCACAAAAAAAATGGAGGAAAAAAAAAAATCAAATCAAGATGGGAGAAACACAGATGGGGAAAATAACTCCTCAGTTGTGTTGGTAACTAAATTGGTCCATCGTAAAGTACAAGCGGTATATTATTTATTTTCCTTTTGTGAAGGCCCCGAACAGGCAAAAAAAAAGTCACTATTTATTATGCCCCCCTCGAAGTCGCTCCAATTACAGCGCTCGTGGAAGCGCAAAACGGAAAAAACAAAAAAAAAATAGAAAAAAACAACCATTTAACGGAAAAAAAAAAAATCACAAAGTGGAATGAAAGGTATACATCCTTCCAAAACAGAACGCCGAACATGCATAGATATAGATACGCAGGCCAACGACGTCGCAATTGTCTAGCACATCCCCCCACACAGTAAGGAGGAAAAAATATCTTACAAAAAAAAAAAATTGTCCCCATTTAGGATTCCTTGGGAAACACCAATTGGGCCACATTTCGTACCACTGCGAGCGAAAAAAAAAATAAGGGGGAAGCCTCTACCCCCCATTCATCACTCCATATGGGGAGTAACCACTGGTGGCGATTGTTATGCAGGGGGAGGGTTGTCAACGGAGAACCGAAAGTACAGGCGCCACCCGTTTGCTAATTCTCCCCCATCGCCGAAGCGACGCTAAAGAAGAGAGGGATTGCTGTCCACACTGCCCCATTTCCCTCTCGACACAACCTCACGTCAGCGTATCCACCTCCAACAAAATCAGTGAGTGGTAATCCCCACAGGCAACATCGAGTAGCGTTATGTTGACGATATTTTCAGACAAGTTAAACCCAAAGGGACACTTCCGCTTCGTGTGATGATACGTGAAATAATTCCACAGGCATGACCTCCTTTTTTTAAAAACTTTAAATTTTAATTTAACTTGTTCGCAATCCAGCAATCTGTCACTCCCATTTTGCAGATTCAAAAAATTGTCATTTATGTTATCGATAGTTTCCAGTATCATATTTCTGAAGAGTTTTTTTTTATTTACGCATGTAGAGCTTTTGCGCCTTTCCTTCGCGGGGGGGTTACTCTCCTTTTCGAGTTCCTTCCCGCCTTCCTTTCCATTATTATTCCCATCCGTGTGGTCCCTGCACATCTCAGCCTCGTTTGTCCTTCCCATGATGGAAGAACAACCTATCACGGCTTTGTTAGCCCTTTCCACTTCTTGGCCATTCACAAGGTGATTATTGCAGCTACTACTTCTACTGCTGCTCTTGTGTGAAAAATGTTTTCCTTCCTTTTGTGTGCTCCGCGAATGGTCCAGTTCCTCTCCGGGTGTGCCCCACGCACTGCTTACCTGTTTTTTTTTACCAAGGGGGTAGTACTCCCCAGATTCGTCGCACAGATGGGATTCTTCACTTGACATCCCTAAATCTGCTGCTCTTTTCGAATTGTGTTCCTTCTGCAAGTCTCCCTCGTTCGATGAACTAAACAGACTATCCTTCTGTTCCTTGCACAACAGGGGGGTGTCCGCCCTGTTCTTTTTATTTTCCCCTCCAGGGGTTCGCTCTTGTTTGCTTACCTCCGATACGTTTGCTTCTGCTTGTCTGCTCAGGTTGGCTGGCGCCCTGGAGGAGTTTGTCTGCCATGAGCTCTGCGAGGATTGGGGCGTTGTGCGGAAGGAGACCCATTCGCAGGGGTCGCCTCGGTTGCAATCGGCGCGGTTCCTTCCAACGTTGTTGCTCTCTTCGCGGTTGCTGATGACGTGGCTACCCACGCGCCTGCTCCCATCCCGGTCGCCGGAAAAGCGATCCTCCGAGGAGGCGCACTTTCCCCCGGTGCCTCGCGCCGCCGTGTCCCTCCTCTGCCCCAAGTGGAAGTGGAAGATGCTGTTGTTGTTGCTGTTGCTGATTCTTTTGTTGCTGTTGCTACTTCTGTTGTTGTTGCTGCTAGCCCGATCGCTCGACGATTGCAGATACGAAAGGGATTTCCTGTTCCTGCTGCTGGATGTACCACAGTTCACGGAGTGCAGCCTGTACGCCGCTAGAGAGCTCCTGTTGGCAGCAATGGGGTCCAGGAGGAGGGAAAACCTCTCCTGGTCGATATCATTGTAGAGTAAACTACAGTTAGTCACGCTTTTTTTTATTTTCCCATACAGCTTCTTCAAGTTTAGAAGCTTATTGTTGTAGCTAATCTGATCCGAGTACTTCTTCCTCCTTGATATGGTTAAAAAATTGTGTTTTTTATTGCGTAGGAGGGCCTCATTTATTAGCTTGTCCTTGTGCAGACAGATTGGAATGCTTGTCTGTTTGCAGTTACTGGGAAGGATAATGTGATGGAAGTCAGACTTGCCAATGATGAATATGTTTCTCTCGGGGATTTTATTTCGAAGAACGTCTAAAGAGCAAATGTTGTTTATGTAATCAATTTTTTTTTTGTTTAAAATGCGATTAATAGATGGAGAGGAGGTTAAAAAAATGGCAAAGTTTTTCCCCATGGCTACTTGGAATATTTGTAGTAAATCCACTCGGTTGACGTTGTTGTTATTGCTGAGCAGAAGCGGCTGCAGGATTTTTTTCACTTGGTCTGTTTTGCTGACGGGGTATGCACCGCTTACATGACATGCACCGCTCACTTGGGCTGCTTCATCCGCCTGGCCAGCAGCACTCCCCCCTCGAGCGTTAAGATTGAGGTAGTAATTACTCCCATTATTACACACATTACTGACGTGGAGAGAGTTATTTATGAGGTAGACATTCTGCCTTGGGTGGGTCCCCTGACCTGCAATGTGACTTTCTCCTCCTTGGGATGATCGGCTAATCAAGAGAATGAGGTCTGAGTATTTGACGTAAAAGATGTTGTCTCCTCCCCTCGTTATGACCTGCTCAGAATAATATTCCAACAAATGGGAGCTTTCATTTTTCAGAAGAATGTTGTACCTGAATTTGTTTCCCACTTTTTCCCCTCCTGGTGAGATGGCACTTCTGGGTCCCCCCTGCGAGTCCATACTTCTTTCATCTATATACGTTATTGGCGCAACGAATGCCGTGTGAGTGCTGGAGGAGGCAATGCTCGAGATGTATAAATTGCTCAAACAGGTTATCTTTGTGATGCTGGTGATGTTCCTGTAGTACTTGCTGCCTCCACAGCAGGAGATAACATATGAGCATTTCTTCTCTTCCTCTTCTGCCCCTTCTGCTGCTCCTTTTTTTTCTCTCTTCAAGTAGCCCCATATATACACCGACTTGTCCTCCGTCAGGCAAAGGCTATGGTACTTACCCAAACTGACTTGAAGCACACTCTTATCTTTTATCTTCACATTTCTCGGGACATTCACAAGTTTGTTGCTTTTTTTATATCTCCTGTGTTTGTCCCTATGTCCGTCTCCATCTTTCGAGTGTAACCTCTCCTTGGACGTAAGTCTTTTTTTTATGTGTTCTCCCCCCTTTTGTACCACTTGGGCTATCGTTTTCAGGCCCATCATGCTCATGTGTATCGTTCCCCCACTGCACGTTTTGCACCCCTGCGCCGCTTCTTCCCGCTGTTTCTTCTTCATCTTCTCAACCGCATAAGTGCTGTCTATTTGGCCAAACTTGTTCCAGCCCCAAATCCAGAGCTTCCTATTTGCGTCAATCAAGGCGCTGTTATACGCCCCACAGTTTATGGAGATAACTGGATGTGCGATATTCGCATAGGTCTTCTTTGATGAGAAGAAAAAGGTGTTCGTTCGTCCATATCGTGGGTGGCTCTTCTGCATCCCTCGTTCGACAATCACCAGTGGGAGGAGGAAGGGCCTGCTAGTGTGGGACACCTTCCTGTGGTACCCATTTGGCAGCCCCAACTGTGCCTTCTTGTTACACCCGAAGGTAAAAACGAACCCATCGTACGTGAGTAATAACGTGTGAAAGGACCCTAAGCTTATGTCTTTCACTTTATGCTTATGTCCGAAATGCTTCAAGGGCACTAATTTATGTATGTAGGGGGACAGCATCGTTTTCTCAGTCTTCACAGGGGAGAAAATGGTCCTCTTTGCGGGAGCGTCTGTTTTTTTTCTCTCCTTCTCCCTCTCATTCTCCTCATCTTCCGGACTCCTTTTCAACATGCTCAATTTAGTCCTTCGATAACACGTGTGAACTGACTTGTTCGGATTCACCCCAAGTTGTCCGTAGCAGTTCAGCCCCCAGAGGCAGACAAACCCATTTTTGCTAACCACTCCGGAGTGATACTTCCCGCAGTTAATTATCTCTGGGTTAAAGTAGAGGTAGTCTTCCCCCGGTTTGTTCCCTCCATCTGCCAAGTGGCTGTTCCAATTGGGGCTATTACTGTTGCGGCTGTTGCTCGTGTCCATTTGGTTTGGCATGCCCACTTCTTTTCGCATGTCTAGCTTGTGCTGAATCTCTGCTTGGCTCCTTTGACGGATTCCTCCCAGAGTAGAAATGCCGCCACTGCCTCCCACCACATACTCAGTCGTTTTGAAAAAATCACTATACTGACGGATCCTCCTTTGGTAATCCTTCTCCTTGTCCTTCTCATTTTCAGAAAAGAACCTTTTGTTCTTCTCCATTGCCCCTTCCTCGTATCTGTTCCTCCTGAGGTAGTTTGTCTCTCTGATGAGGCTGACCCGGACGCTGCCTGTCCTCCGCCTATCTGCCCTCCTGCTACCGATGCTGTCCTTTTTCTTGTGCAAGAGCAGCTTCCCTTGGGGTTCCTCCTTTACGGTACGCTTCCCATTTTGCATACTTCTGTTCTTCACTTCGTCAGTAGTGACGATTCTGTGCTTCCCTCCACTGCCGCTCGTCGTGAGTTTCTTTCCTAGCAAGTCGTGCACGTTCTCTTTGCTCATACTCTTCCCATCTTTCTCATTATTTTTGATTTTCTTAATCGTGGAAATGTTAAAGTCATTCGGGAGTCTCGTCAGGATGTCGTTGTATATTTCGTTTTTGCTGAGGGCGTTATTCCACTGGCTGTTGTAAAAACAGTTGTTGTTCCGTCGCTTTATTTCTCTGGCGAGGTCGTTGTACCTTCTGCTCCTTTCGAAGGTTCTCTTCGCTTCACCCCCATGGGCTTCTTCGACAACTGTTTCGCTGCCTTGATTTCCGCTGCCACCATCTTCGCCTCCGCAATCCTCTCCGCCAATCGTCTCATTGCCACCTGTCTGGAGTCCTCCCCGGCGGCTCCTCCCACTTGCGGAGTACCTCTTACTAATGAGGACCGTGGAGAAGTCCACTATGCCAACTTTAACGTTCTCCTGGAACCCTAGCTGACCAAAATTGTTGTTGCCTAAACAGATTAGTATCTTTTTCTTTTCCGTTTCTTTGTTATGGTCTGATGAATACTTCGAGATGTTCGATATTACCTCCCACGCATCCATATCTCTGGAGAATTTTTTTCTCTTTTTGTTTAGCATGGACAGCTGCTCCAGGATGCTGAATTGGGATGCGGTGTTCTTCTTGGCGTCTCCCGGGGAGGCTTCGTCCGGAGTTCCGAGATCGTCCGGTTTGGCTATCTCATCACGTGTGGCTAGCTCATCCCGAGTTGCAGGCTCATTCCTAGTTGCAAGATCATCCCGAGTGGCTGGCTCATTCCTAGTTGCAATCTCATCCGGAGTTGCTAGCTCATTCCGAGTTACACGCTCGTCACTGCCCCTATTCACCTCGCCCCCCCAGCGAATGCTTCTGTTTGCCTCCCTCTTATCCCAATTTTCCGGATCGCCCATTTCGCCACACGTCCTGTCTCACTCTGGGACATTTGTCCCCTCTGAATCCAAACACTATTGCCTCTTGGTCCTGAAGCTGCAAAGTGAATGTATCTTCCTCCTTGCTCCTATGTCGCTTTTGCGAGGTACGTGGTGAGTAGCAAAAGCTTCACCGGTGTGAAATGCTACTAAAGGGAATTCTTTAAGGGGCAAGGAAAGACACAAAAAAGCTGACCATCGAGTGCGTGCATATATATATAATATATATATTTATTTATACATGTGTGCACCCCCTCGTGATTGCTAAAGCGGGTCAGCTGCCCCTCTCCTTTCCCAAATTGAACAACGCGTGTCGTTGTTCCTGTAAAAATTTTCAAACAGAAAGAATCGTCTACTTCTGACTTTTTTAGGTTACCCAATGTCGGCGGTGGGGTGTCCCGTCCACTTGGCCTGCTTCGCCTTACTTAACTTTTCTTTTTTTTTTTTCTTTTCCGTCCCAACTCAGCGAATGTGGTGGGGGAGCGCTTTTACAACGCTAGAACAGTGACGGTTACTTCTTCCACTTGTCACTTTTGCCAATTGATCAGCTTCGCCATATTTGCCATTTTTCCGAAACAGACACAGAGGAACATGAAAAAAAAATTTCACTTCATTTTTCAGCAAAGTTGCAGTGGCCGCTTTGCCGCCTCCGTCTGGTGTTTTTTTTTTTCTTTTTATCTTTTGTTTACTCCTCTAAAGTACACCGCGGGGAAGGGGTGTAGCGAAGAAGAACATACTTTAAAATAGCGTGCCATACAGGTCTTTTTTTTTTTAACCGCAAACTTGTGTTTACAACTGGGGCGGACAACTCCGCTTCGGGTTTTGCTAAACGAGCGGCAAAGAAAAAAAAAAGAAAAAAAAAAATGAGCAATTTTTTGTAAGTTAAAATGGGTATACATTTAGACGATTCACCCATTGTGGCTAATATATTTTTTTCCTCGATTGGGTGGACCCCTGTGTGCAAGTAGAGCAAAATGGCAAAATGTGACGTTGAACGGGGTGATAGGGAGGGAGTGGACCCAACATATGTGCTGCAGACGGTAGATGTATCGGGTCTGACTCGAGATGGACGAATTGGAGGGTTCGTCTTTACCTATTAGCGGTAACTCAGTTTTGTTGCTGGTCGGAAGGATCGCTTCCTCTTTTCATATGTTTGCCGCCCCCTTGGGAAAATGAGTAACGAGGGAAACAGCTCAGTTACAGTCGCAAGGGGCGGTCTGCTCAAGTTGGCCGTTTTACGCTCGGCGCAGGTGGAGCCGAAGGGTGCTCCCACGAATGGTTCCGTGAAGAGGCCTCACATGTGTAGGAAAAAAGGGGGAGGCAGAGGAGACAAAAAAAGAGACAAAAAAAGAGGCAAAACGGGGCGGCAAAACAAGGCGGTAAAAAGAGGAATAACATCAACACATGACCTAACCTACACAGTGACAATAATTGCTGGAAAGTCCCCGTCCTCCTCACCGCTGTCCCCGGAGGCAATTAGAGAGGACAAATCAAGCACACGTGCGTTATATTTAGATGGGGAAAATCTTTCTGTTCATTCCCCGCGGCGACGTTAAGAGGAACGTGAAGCGCGGCCGCGAGGAGGAAGCCAGCAACGTTGTACCAAAATAGAAGGGCGGGGGCTGGCAAAAAATCATTAAAAAAAAGAAAAGGAGAAAAAAAAAAAAAAAAAAAGGAAGGTAAACAGAAGCAAAGGAAATCAATGCAATG